TACAAATGATTGAAAGCCTAATGTCTTTCCTACTCCCGTCTTAAATAGAGGGACTAGGAATCCTAAGGGATCATGTGAGCAAGCACAAGTAAACACAACATTAATCAATCACAAATGAAAATAGAAAGAAAGACTTAAACAAGTCATGAAAGATGAAAGGAGATGAGAGAAGCATAAACACCAACAACAATGAATATGCAAGCATGAGACATACATCAATGACACACTCAAGTTATATCCAAGTCAACAAGATGGAAGATTAAAACACAAGGACAAACAAGGTAACCATACAAGATCACATGCCTTAAACATCTTAAGAAGAATGATGTCAAACATTGAATCACAAACAAAGAAATGAGGGGAGAAATAGAGTGGGGCAGCAACCACATCATGATTATTAAAATCAAGCATTCATTCATGATCATTCAAAGGAAAACATCTAAACACCTCAAAACAAGTTCAAACATTCAAATCATTCTTAAAGTAAGACACATGCTACAAAAATACCAAGATCAAGTACCCATTCAACAAGATCAGAAGTAAAATCAAATGATATGCATCAAGTTCAAATTCAAATTACCAAACAAGATCAAGAAGGATCATACTCAAGTTGAGGCAACAAAATCATGCAAACATCTCACAAGTCAACCACACAAGGAATACATGATCATACAAAGCTCATGAGATTAAACAAACATTCAATGGACCTCTAATCATGAAGATCAGAACCTCAAACATGTTATCAAGAACATACAAGACTCACCAAGCACTCATGTAATCACACAAGAAACCATCTCAAAGATTAGGTCAAGACATGCACACACACATGGTTAAAACAACAAGATCTTAAGACATCAACCCAAAATAGAAACATGATCAAATAAAATCCAAATAAAAATTCAAATTCAATTTAAGTCCATCCAAAATCACTGTGCAAAAGATCATAACAATAATGGCATAAAAGCATCACCAATTGTATCAAACAAGGCAAGGCATTCAACTTATCGAGCATACATCGAGGGTCAAATAAAAACCAATGAAAAAAAACCAAGAAATGATCATCAAGACATCAAACTAGCCCTCAAATAATCCTCAATCAAACACCCAAGTGTGAGAGGAAAATTGGTCAAAGGGGGTATTCAAATGATGTCAATCATCAAGCCTAAATCATAAGGGCAAGCAAGAAAACCTCTTCACAAATTAAATTGATTAAATAAAATAAAATAAAATAAAAATTGTGAAAAATATCTCAAGACACCAATTAATCAGAAAGTATTTTTTATGGATTTTTAGAATGATTAAAACTATTTAAAATAAAATTAAAATGAAAAATAGCATACAAAATGAAATAAAAATGGATAAAGAAAGCAAGTGGGGTGCAAAAGTAAATTCAGAATGAACTGATTTCACGTTGGAAACACGTTGGGCCCTTAAACAGGGTGGTGTGAATATCAAAAATATCAAAGCCTAGTCCAAACCAGACACACTCAGTCAGACACGCTGGAGCTCATTAATTGAGCTGACAGTGATTTGGAAATTTGATTGGCTCATAATAAAACATGTCAACACATTTGAATTCAAATAAGGGCGTCAAGGCCACCTCATCTTATCTCCCACCTTCAGACGCCGGAACCCTAGTTCCAATCGTCTTCTCCGACCAACCCTCACCGGAGCAACCCCAAAAATCCCCAGAAATGGAAAGAAAGGACACCCAAACACTCAGAATTCCACACAGATCCCAAATCCAACCTCAAACTATAAAAACAAACACGTTTACATGATGAATTGAGAGCGAAAAGTTTGAGCATTCAAACTGAAAATTTACCAAAACAAACCAACATGATATGCAAACATTTCCTACCCTCAGGAGGACTTCAGATGCACCCAGTATGACCCTAATATATGCCTAGAATGAGAGAAGAGAGCTCTGAAAATTACCTAGTGGAGTACGTCCACTGCTCATTTAAAACTTATTGTAAGGTCACCAAAAGATGCAGAATGCTTCCCTAGAGCTTGATGGATCCTAACCTGAGCTTGAAAGGCCTTGAAACTTCCCTTAAACTTCCAACCAGCTTTGAACAGGTGTGAAACAAAGTGCTTGTTGAATGCTTCTCTTGCAAACAGAAGATGCAGAATGTTATGGTGAAGGGATTTTGAGGTGAGATTGGGTGGAAAGTTTGAAAAGGAAGGAGATTCGAAGAAAAATTCAAAGGGAGAAAAATGAGAGCTAGAGCTGATCTTCTTTACAATGGTGGTTGTCTCTTCTAGGGTTTTGCTTCTTGGCTTAAATATGAAGTTTTTGAGGTTAAAAACTTTTCACTATGGTTAAAACAAAGAGGTAACAGATGATGCCAATTTGAGAGAGAGAATTGAGATGGAGGGTGGATCTTGCATCATGGTATGAATTAGGGCATTGTTGCTGCTGCAGCTTAGTGAAAAGAAGGATCAGAGGGAGTGTGTAGTGGTCAGGCTTGTGGATGCTTGCTTCTTTCCTCCTTTGGCCAAGATATTTCAAAAATATCACGCATGGTACATACCTTGTTGGTCTTGTTTTGGTAATGTTTTGGAGTGTGAGAAGGAGGTCTCATGCGTGTGACTTGGGATAAGGGCAATGCAGCAAGACTAGGTTAAGAAGCATACCCAAAATCAATCATGAATCATGTCTTGAAATATCTCCCAAATCATCTACTTTGCACAAACATAACTTGATGCATATTGCTCTTCTTGATTGGAATTTGGGATTAAAAGAAAGCTAGCATGGTGGGGAACATCTCTCCTGTTGAAGGAAACTTGATTTGCATCTTGGAAAGTCATGAAAATTTAGCTTGAATATCATGTCATGAAATCTGCCTTGAAACAACTTAGAAAAAATTCTAAGTCATGAGTTTGTGCATAATTGAAATCCCAACTTTGGATTCACATAACTTGAGCTTTAAATATCACATGATGATGAATTGGTACTCCAAAGAAAGCTCAAAGGATGAGGAACAACTTTGATGTTGGCCAAAACTTCATTTGGAACCTTCATCATGAAGGAAAGTGGCCTTGAAAGTGGTTGATTCACACATGAAACTTTCCATAAATGGAAAGTTTCTAAAACCCTAATTTTCCAAAAATGGCAAGTTTCAAACTTCTTGATTTTTCATGATCCCTTTGAAATTTCTTGATCAATTTTCATCCATTAGCCATGTTGAACATGAGGAACATGATCTTGACCTCAAAAAGTCGGAGTTGACTTTTTCCTTTGCACAATTGACTTTTTCCCAAATTCACTTGATTTGTAATTGACTGGCCAATTGAAGTTCTCCTGGATGAAATTGATGATCAATCCTCCACCCTTAAGTACCCTAGAACATATGAAGGATCAAGGGATCAAACCTTGCTCAAAGAAATAAGCCTAGACTGATTATATATGAAACCCTAGTTTCAAGCCATGAAGATAGGAGAAAATGACCCAAGCTTGAAACCACATTTCCTCTGGGTAGGTTGAAGAACCCCTTAAACAAAGAAAATTGGTGAAGAGAAATGATGAAGATTCAAAAACCTTGCTCATGAACACATCACATACCCAAATTCCAACTTGAGAACCAAAGATGGAAGACCAATGATTCTCTTGTATGATGTCCCAAGTGATGTTGTGATATGAAGACGCGTCCTTGTGTGAACTTCAAAGATGGAACTCCTCCCTTGAGTAAGAATGAGATATCTTGATCCCCTGTCTACACCCAATGCTATGCACAAATACAAATGCAAGATGCTATGAAACATAAGTCAAGATAAAAGAAATGGTTGGACAAATTTTGGGGTGCTACACACTAACAACCTTGTTTAACCGCCTTCCAACTAACTTTCCTAAAACAATAAGTTTAAAACTAACTAAGAAAGGAAAGTTGGAGCATCTTGCATATAAAATCAGTATTTTAACTTGGACATATTTATTATAAAATTTACCTTATCAAAATATTTTATATTTCAAATACATTTAAGATAAACTATTACATATTTAAATGAAATTAAAGTAAAATGTTACATATCTCTCAATTCTATTTTATAAACAAATTATAAATTTTTAGTTTCTAAGTTTATTGATTAAATAATATATTTAAACTATTTATATGTTAAATATATTATTTATTTAATAAGTTTAAAAATAAAAAATTTCTATCTTAAAAAATATACAAATAAGAAATGAAAGGGAAATATCCAAACAATGTTATGCTTACACCTTTCTTACACCTATATCGTATGTCTTGTTCACAAATACAGTGAACAGTGCTGAGAACACTAAATCGTACATGAACAGTAGCGTAAATAGTGTCATGTAAACAATATTGCGTATATGAACAAACTTGTGAATAGTGTCATGTAAATAGTTCATAAACAATGATTTTTAATAGTAAATCAAAATTGCTTTATGAAATGTAAAAAATTGGTTAATGAAATTGGTTAAAGAGCGTCTAGATATTAAAAATAATTTTTAGTAAAACAACGTTGGTTAATAAAGTTATACAACTATTTAATAAAATATTTAAATATAACAAAATAATTAATTTTAATATTTTTAAAAAAATATATATTTTATTAATATAATATTTTTTAAATTACCATATTGATGAATAGTACAATACTAGTGTATATTTTAATGTAAAAATAACATTTTTAATATCCAAAATAGAAAAAATATTAATTGACCTTCGAATTAATTTGTGCTTACAAATATTCTCTTTTAATTTTTAAAGAGAGAAAACTCCACCGATGAGTAACCCACACCGTAACCCTGGTAACTTTTCAACAAATCGGTAACCCGGGTTACCACCTTGGGAAGAGGATCAAAAATATCTTCTACGCTCATTTACATTAATAACCCTAGTAGGTAACACATCACCATCTATAAATAAATGCACCTTATTCAGTAGAAAACCACAAAATATCTTTAGTGTTATCCTTTACTAACTTTGAAATATCTTTTTTCCTAAAATTTAGCTTTTTGTCTTTTATCAATGGCGTCTGGAGATGTTGAGTACCGGTGCTTCGTCGGCGGTCTTGCATGGGCCACCGACAGCGATGCTCTCGAGAAAGCTTTCTCTTCTTACGGCGACATCGTTGATTCGAAGGTCCGTTTGTTGCAGGCATTGGATCTGACACGATTATGATTCGGATTCTTCTCGATCCCGTTCTGATCTGTGATCTTTGATCTTTTTGTGTTACTTGTTCTGTTATTCTGTTACTGATTCTGTTACTATATCATATGATTCGTTTATTACTCACTCACCCCAGTAGGTACGTTCATCTTCATCTTTTTAACTAAAGGCGAAGATTGATCGGTTACTCTATGGATTTTGCTTTGTTTTGTTTTAGTGTTGCTATTTTTGGATCTGAGTTTTTTTTTGTTGAGTGTAGATCATTAACGATCGTGAGACTGGACGGTCAAGAGGTTTCGGATTTGTGACATTCGCTAATGAGAAGTCGATGAGAGATGCTATTGAAGGAATGAACGGCCAGAACATGGATGGACGTAACATTACTGTTAACGAAGCTCAGAACCGTAACAGTGGCGGCGGTGGTGGAGGTGGCGGTTATGGTGGCCGTCGTGAAGGTGGAGGTGGAGGTGGAGGCTATGGTGGTCGCCGTGAAGGTGGAGGAGGTGGCTATGGTGGTGGAGGTGGTTATGGTGGTGGTGGTGGTAGGGACCGTGGATATGGAAATGACGGTGGTGACCGCTATTCCCGCGGTGGTGGTGGTGGAAACTGGAGGGAGTAGTGTGTTTTAGGTGGAAGTTTATGAGTACTAATAATGCTTAGTTGTTAACTTAGATGTTGGGATCTAATTTGTTGTATCCGTTTTGGTTATGTGTGCCTCTGAATCTGGTTGTGTATAAACGATCGGTTGAAAGGATAATGAGATATTAGTTAGTAAAGACTAGTTTCTACTTATTTCTGACCTTGTGCTTAACTTTTATTTATTTTTAACTTAAGATATGATGAACGGATAACGCGACCTCATTACTAACATGAAGTTAGAATCTAAAATCAAATTTGTTATTAAATGGAAGGAAATATACGAAATGAAATGGGAAATCTCACCACGCTATTTCAAGGTAAACATGCTGCAAATATTGAAGCCAGTGACGTTAGTTTCAAAATGAGATCATATCAACAAATTTTAAGTTGCCATTAGCAATGCTGTTGCACCAGATTCCCTGTTTTAAAACCTCAATTTAGATTATTGATACCGGTGCCACATGCCATATTTGCAACTTTTTGAAACTGTTACATTCTATTTATGACATTGCTCCTATGAAAATTAATTTGCTAAATAGGGCGCTTTTTTGTTTATTCCTCAACTAAAGTCGCTATCCATTTTTTTATGATTCCATTCTGTCCTTTATGTTTCCACTACATTTCTGCAGCTCGACTATCCACCTCAAAATTATAACTGATTTTTGAATATTGAAAATCCAGTCTTTTTCTTTAATTGAAGAAGATTGGACAAGCTAAAGATGTTTTAGATCATACACATTATGTTGGGGCCTTTAACAGTAGTATAGATCTGATTAAGTGTAATTTTGTTCTTTCTAATAGTTTTTCTGTGTCATCATAGGATTAGGACACCATTCTAATGACCTTATGATAAGGTTGTAAGTCTCATAATTCAAGGATTGAGAGACCTCCTTAAAAAATGAGAGTAAGGGAAAGGAATTGATGAAAAAAGGTCTTGCAAAAAAGGCATGTTGTTATTAAAATCACTTAGGCAACAACAGATTTAACGATCCCACAATCTAAGAGATCACATGCAAATGGAATAACAAACTCCTAAATGACATAATAGGTGGATCTTTTAGAAGCCCATTCGTAAATGACAGTCCTCCAGCTTAGTTGGAAGTTTTTGGATCCTTTTAGGATGAATAGTAACTGGGTCTGGTTCATAAACAATACTTAGGTGTATTCTTGTCAAATGTAGGGGTGTATATAACATTGCCTTATCTATCAAAACCAGCCTTGTGTTCGAGTTTGTAAATCGAAGAAAGCTTGTTTCAATTTTCCCAATTTGTGTCGCCAAAAAAGTATTTTTCACTGAACAAGATACAAATGGAAGTCTGTTGAGCTTTAGTTACAACCTTAGAATCCAGAACATCAAGTAGCTTTGGGATGATTCTCAAGGGAGGGATTCGATTTATTCGGGATTGGTCCATGGTGTGGCTTCAGTATAGTGCAACTGAACACATCATGAATTTTTGAATATGAACCGAGTTCTAATTTGTAAGTGATTGGTCTCACTCGAGTCAAAGTCTTAAAGGGGTCGTAAAATCTCTCAACTTATCACCAAGTGATATCTGTTTATATGGCTGTAATTTCACATATGCCTATGAATCCATTTTATAAGTCACTTCTTGACACTTAGCATCAACATTTGCCTTCATACGCACCTGAACCAATGTAAAGGTTTTGTATGAACAAAATCCCTAAGGTAATGCTTAATAGTGCGATTGGTAACTTTGATTTGTCTGCCTCTCTGCAGGTGATACCCCAAACTCATTCGAAGCATGGTGCCACTGAACTTGAAGAGGTCTGCCTGAAAATGGCTAACAAACAAGGGGTCTATGGTGCCACTGAACTTGAAGAGATCTGCTTGAAAATGGCTAACAAACAAGGGGTTTGTCCGAGACAATGCTCTTAGGTAAGCCATGTAACTTACACACCACCTACACAAATAATTTAACCACCTTATACACAATGTACCATGAAGGCAAAGCACACAAACTAATGGCTTTAGAAAATCTGTCAACAACTAGTATTACAAAATCTGTCAACAACCACTAGTATTACAAAATAACCGTGGGAAATGGGGAATATATTCACAAAATTAAGCGAAAGTCCTCCCCTACATTGGAAGGGATTGGTCGAGGTTGGAGGAGACTCATGGACTTAGCTGTGTTGTATTTTCTCTGTTGACGAACAACACAATCTTGAATGAATTGTTGCACATCCTTCTGCATGTTAGACCATAATTTTTTTCCTGATAACCTCTTAAATGTCATAACAATTATGGCGTGATCCCCGTTTGGTGTTTCACGGAACTCCTTGAGCAGAAGAGTCACAAACCTAAAAGTTGGCACAATCCAGATTTCCCCATGTCGCAAGACAAGCTCATTTCCCAGACTAAACTCTAGAAAATATGATGTTGAGTTAGTAAACTTGTCCCTAAATACTTTATAGTATGATTAACATTAAGGTCCTGCTTCATTTTTTTTCTAAAAAGAGGAACTAAGATATTGACAGAATATGCAAGGGTGCTTCTTGTTCTTCAAAAGCTCTTGACAAGGCATCAATCACAACATTGGTGCTCCCTGGCTTGTATTGTATCTCATAATGGTAACCTAATGGCTTGGACAAATAGAATTGCTGCTCTGGAGTTTGGGTAACTTAGTTAAGAAATTCCTTAAGGTTGTGATGGTCTATCTGAATGATAAAAAAATGACCCAAAAGATACCAGTGTCATCTTTTAACGGCACTCGTGATGGCGTGTAGTTCACAAAGGTAAGTGTATGCCTTTGCCATCCTAGGGTAGAATAACTTACTAAAGAAAGTCATTGGATGATCGCCTTACAATAACACCGAACCCTTGGCCTGATTGAAAGCATCTATTTGGACTAAGAATGGATCAGAGAAATTGGGGAGGGCCAGAACAGGAGCTTCTGTCAATGCCTGCTTCAATTTCTCAAAAGCGTGTTGAGCCTTAGAGGACCATTTAAACGTGCCATGTTTGAGAAGAACAATCAACGGTTGTGCAATCATATCATAACTTTGCACAATTTTGGGATTAAAACTAGATAGTCCGAGGATTCCTCAAAGGCCCGTGAGGGACTTAGGTGTTGGCCAATTTTTGATAGCTTGGATTTTGATGGGATCATGGACCACGTTCCCTGTTTCAACAATGTGCTCCAGATAAAGAACTTGACTCTGACCAATGACTTTAATTAAAACTTGTGTTCTATCAAGATGGTGAAAATCCGAGTCAAGTGTTCAATGTGATTAGCTAGAGTGATGCTGAAAAGAAAAATGTCATAAAAAACTAACACTTTTGCGCAGTAGGGGATGAAAAATCTCATTCATTGTTGCTTAGAACGTCTCCAACTCGTTGCACAAACCAAATGGCATTACACAATATTTGTAATGGCCATTGTGAGTACAAAATGTTGTCACGTGAGTGTCTTTCAGAGCAAGGTGGAGCAAGGCAAATTTGATGGAATGCGAAAGTCGAATCTAATTTAGAAAAAATTCGAGCATGTCCCAATTTATCAAGTAACTCGTCAATAGTGGAAAGAGGGAATCTGCCACTAATGGTGAGAGCATTCAATTCCTGATAATTAACACATTCTCCAAGACTCATCCTTCTTCTTAAGGAGCAACACTGAAGAAGAAAGCATGCTATTGTTGGGTTGAACCCAACCTGATTGTAACATTTTGGTAATTTGTGTTTGGTTGAAGTGGAATGTGGTGGTCAGTTAGGAGTGAGGGGCATTCATATGGGCTCAGTGAAGAGTGAGGTAAATTGTTTGAGTAACTAGGTGAATTTCGCACCTCAAAAATTCATTCGAGAACGTAAGACCCTCACGCTAAAGGCGCGAAAATGCAGTTCGACAGAGTCGCCACCGAACTTTATTTATCTCGAATAAACGGGAAAGAAAAATATCGAGGAAACCTTTTAAAACGAAAGGACAGGAACAGGGTCGTCGCAACTGATGTTCCGGGTTCGGGAGTCGGTTACGCAAGGGGAAGGTATTAGAACCCCTCACGTCCGTTGTACTCAACGAGAACCTCTTAATTCGAATTGTGATGAGCGTTAGCTAAGCTTAGTTATTTTCTTCCCAATAATAAATGCGAAACAATATGATAAGGGATAAAGACACTAAGGGTAAATGAATGGTTATAGGATAAGGTGCTCGCCAAGGATTGGGGCCCTTGTGCCTACGTATGCTCATCCAGACGAGAATGAGAAATCAGAGCGTCGTAGTTCGACTACGGGAAAGGACGGGGGTAAACGGAAGATGGAGGGAAGGTAGCTCACCAAGATCATCGCAATCTTGTGCCTACGTATCTTACATCCAAGAATGAATGAAGAATCAGAGCGTTTATAATTCGTGGTAAAGACCACAAAAAGAGAAGGGTTGAATTGGTTGAAGTTTGGTTTGAATGACGATTACTTGAAGCTTAAGAAAGGCTCCTCGGGCTTAAGTAATCGGGAGAAAGAGTCAAAGACTTAGCTCTCTCTCTTTTTCATATTGAAATGAAGGTTGTGTTTGAATGGTGTTTGAATGATGAGTGGTTGGAAGATGATTGAATGTTGTCAAGTTGGTAATGTTATTTAGAGGCGTCAATTTCTCACACACAAGTAAGACAACTCGCATCCAAACAACTGAAGGGAGATCGAAGGCTCAATCCCCCTATTTTCACCTTGAAAATATTTGAATAGTTATTAATTGATTGATAGTTTATTGAGAAAATCTGTTTGACGTTGGATCAAGGGCTTGACTTATATTCGCGTGCAAAACCGTGGTGGAATGAAAATGGTTTGAAAAATGGCTCGACGACGAGTCGAGGATTTGATTGAAAATGGATCCGACTTGACGAAGAATCAAGGGTTGGGTTGTGAGAAACGATACTAGTCCCTGAGGGTGCTCCCAATATCGAAACCACGATGAAATGTGAAAGTGTGCGCGATAGGTTGATGGCGAATGCGGACGAGCACTCGACTTACGG